GAGCCAATGGTTTCAGTTCCAGTCTGAGTCTGAGTCTGAAGGCAGGAAGAGGTCAGTATCCCAGTTCCAAAGTCAGGCAGACACAGAGCAAATCCTCCCTTCTTCAGCCCTTTTGCTCTTCTGGGAGCTCCAGGGATGGGAGGGGGCCCACCCACCCTGGTGAGGACAACCTGCTTTACTCAGTTTACTAATGTTCACCTCATCCAGAAACACCCTCACAGACACACCCAGAATAACATTTAACCAAATATCTGAGCACCGTGTGGTCCAGTCAAGTTAAAACATAAATTAACCATCAGTGCTCTAACCCTGTCGCCTTGGCACCCAGACACATGTCTTTAAACCATACTTAATCTCCAAATAAGGTCTCTGATATTCCAGGGACCCTCAATTTTGAATAATTATTATACAAGTGAAACTACAAGTTCATTTGCCTTAAATTGTAACCTTCTTGAGAGCAGAGGCCATTTCTTATTCATCTTTGTACCCTGGGGCCAAGGACAGAGTCTGGAATATTGTAGGCCCACAGCCACAATTGTAAATACTGAGAGAATTCAATGCTTTGAAGTTCAACATACTCTAGAATTTTCTGATGTTTTCATGCCAGCTTTTCTAAAATTATAAAAACCTAGGAACAAGGCCACTGAGATTTAACTGACATTAATTACATCCAGTGGGTTCAAGCTCAGGTTTATTTTTAGCTTATATTTGAAAAGGCCCAAGAACTAATTATCTCTAATATTTATCTCTAGATTTAAGCCCTATCTTTGTAGGTAGCAAAATGTACAATGTGAAGAATTTCTATCAGCTTGTGAACTCAGTTTTCTCTTAATTACTTCTTTATCAGCTACCCCTTGAGCTATTAAATATAATGTTACTCAGTCAAAATTGTCAAGCTGTCTTTACAAAGCTCGTGGGGTTATGGTTGTATGCTTTCATAGACAGGATTTACCTCTGTAGGAGAGAGAAAATGAAACGACCAGGTTCACCTCAGTGGAAAAATGTAAACAGTTGTCAGCTATGAAAAGAAATATTCTCGTCACATCAGAAAAACACCTAAAGCACTGAATTGTTTTGAGGCAGGTGCATGGCCTTTCCTACCTGCCCCAGAGTACTCTATTCAGTGATTATACATGGCTGAGAGAGCACTTTAAAAAAATGTGTCCCAGATGTGACATCACTCAGTGGGGTTTGCCTTCCTTT